GAAAGTAGTATATGCTTATTGGTAGCACATACTTAAAGCCCACTTAAAATTTCAGTAAAACACGTATCAGGGCTTTGCACAGAGATTGGAAAATATCACTCTCCATTTCCCTCAACTATTTCAAGGCAGAGAACAACTGTCATGTTCTTTAACACGGCATGGTAATTCTAGATTGAAAACAAGCTTTCAGTGAGAAGGTGCAGTTTCAATGGGAAATGAGAAGTCTTAGAGAGAAGCTTTTCCACTGAAGCAGACTACAGAACCAGTGTTCACCCAGAGTTGGGCAAGAATCAGTTTCTCTTCTCACCTTAAGGTATACTATCTGGTCAGAGGAACACACGGAAATTTCCCATTTCTACTTAAGATGATATTATTTTGCATAATAATACACCATTTTCAGAAGACTAGAAAAGCCCTATCGTTACATGATGTCAAGAGTAACAGGCATATTTTGTGGGATCTTACCCAAGGCAGCTCAGTGGCTGAAAAGTTACTGAGAACAATTCAAATACTTTTCAGGAAGAAAAACCACTGGCACCATAGCAACATCCTTCAACTGAATGAATTTCTGAAGGAAAATCATTTTATTTCTCCAATTTGTACTCAGTAATAGGAGTTAGTAGAGGACAAACCGATGAAAAACCAGTCTGAAACCAAGCCCTAACTACCAGCAATACCTGGCTCAGCAGCAGGGAGTAAAATTAACATCACTCTTAATTAAGAAACTAAGAGGTTCTTTTTTATTTTAGCATCGTAAGGAAGCTTATCATCATCTACTCTGTTTCCTTGTGAAATACATATGAGTTAGGCCTGAATGGAGCTTGTGTAACAGCACTATCAGTAGCTTTATCAAGTGGTTTGAATTTGTCTTGCTAAAACAATGAAGTCAACACTGGACTTCACCTGTGCAGAGGAGAGACAGTTCATAACCCAGCAGAGGACTCTTACATTAAACACAACCTACACTCACAGCATCAACAGCATGATACCAGGGCTTCCTTTCAAACTCATTTTTTCTGCTGTCTGGACTTTTTTATCTAGTCTAGTAGTCCTGTGACAAGGCATTCAACTGAGCTAAGCAGCATGTAATTAAATACATCCTCCACATGGATTCAAACCAGCCGCCTGATCTTTTCATTAAATGCAACTTATGACTGGTGTTTCCCATCTTTTCCCTTGTGCTGTACTTTCTCCTCTGCTGTGCACAACAGCCCCTGAGAATTTATTTTCCCACTGCAAAGATACTTACAAACCAAAACCATGTCACTCCACCCCACCTCCGTAGAATAAAACTGACACATTTCAACTCCAAGTCTCTCCATCTCCAGCCTCTATACCCACTCTCCAACTCCTCTCTGAATTTTCTGCAGTTGAGGATAAAGCCCTTCTTGCACACACTGCCTTACTTCAGGCTCACTTTGCACACTAGCAAAGTGTTTAGAAGGCCCTAGTGTAGCAATGTCACAGTACCCTGTGTTTCTTCTGTCAATACTTTCCCTAAATCCCAGTCCCAAGACTGCTAAAATAAACTCAGTAATAAAGGAGACAAAGTTCCAGTATATTACAAGTCTTTAACAGCAATATTCAAGGTAATAGCTCTCTCCATAATCATTTGTCATGCAATTTTAGACTCAAAGCTCAAAATTAATTACAAACATGAAACAAATCATGCTGTGAAAACATACATTATAAACAAATTATGCTCTCAAAATAGGTAATTTACAGCCTGGAAAAGTAATTGATAAACCTAAGTGCTCACAAATAACTGCAGAAATGACAGGTCAAGTGATCACTGAGTGACCAACATATAAAACTAACCAGCATAAGACATAAAACATATAAACTAGGACTGCCACTCACTTTATCACAAACTGTAAATAAACCATATGGGCCTTTTTTTTTTTTGGAGGGGGGTGGGGGTGTGAGTGGAGTTTCGATGCTGATGTTCCTGGACAGCATTTCTAAAATAGACCCTTTCATCTGTTAAAAAGCATTCTCAACCTTCAGCTCAATCCACTGACTCTGACATAGGATTAACATTTTTGTTAAGTAATCACTTAAAAAAATAATAAATAAAAATCAAGGTTGTAACAAGGTCCTGCTTCATTCTAATCCCAAATTCTATGTGCTCAACCTTTTGTCATTGTGCCTCTGTATGACCAGCTATCTTGAGAGCTTAAAAGGACATAGCCTCCTGTAGCTTCCAGACTAGGCTACACACAACTACGTCAAGTCAGGCATCACATCACAGATATTTATGTACTTTCCCAAGGTATCTATCACAAAGTTACTGGCTCTGAGATGTGATCTGCTTCCCTATGAACATTCAGATCTCAGCTAAATATCACACTAATTTCAGGTGAAACCTGTTGTCCTGGTAAGAGCCCACCATCAGCTGATGGCCGGCTCAGCTCCCAGCCACTCTGGCTGAGGGACAACAGCATTCTCCAGCTGCTGGTTACTGACCATCCTCTGGAAACTCCGGCCACCTCCCCACAACTCTGAAGGGTTGGTCAGAGCATGTCCTCACCCACTTCAGGCCAAGTCAGCAATTACTGCAGTGATGCTGATTCATCCTTCCTCGCGTGATCAACAGAAAGCACCGAAGAAGAGACATGTCTTCAGACACAAGATCACAGCCTAAATCCAGAAGAGAACATCTCTTCCCATGACCACCTTCTGTGCTTACTGCTGCGATACCTCTGAACTGATTTTCCTTGATTTGATCTGTGAATTCATCAACTGCCTTATCAAGACACACATTCCAAGTAATTCTCCCTACTCCTGAGAAGCAGCAGTGTTGTCCCCAAATTTCAATGCAATTTTCAAAGCCAATTAGTTGAGAAGTAATAGTATCAAATAGCAATTGTTGTCTATTGTCTATTTGGCCAAATAGTATCTAACAGCTACTGTACAAGAAAAACACACACTTAATGAAGCACAGCATAGCAAGACTTCTTTAACACCACAAACTATGCACTTACATACTGTCAGCTCTGTCGAGGTAACAACTGTCTTGCATTCACTGTCGGCTGATAGACTTGCGTAGCACAGCTTATTGTACATGATGTTAACTCCACAGTACTTAATAAAACCCACAGAGAAATAATGCAATTGAAACCAGACAGAGTAAGACATTAATACTGTGCATTTTAATCAAAGTGAGAGATATCATTATTATTTCTATGTAACTAGAAAAGCTGAAAGGTTCTAATGGGAAAAAATAAAACCATCTGTTTACTCTAAATCATTAAATGAGTGCTTTAGGACAATGTCATCCCCCTAAAGCCTATAACAATTTGGGCCTTAAGCAGAGATGCAAATTGATTAAATCCAAGCATATTTTGCTGCAAATGGCTGAATCAAAATATTGTTGAACAAATAGCAACTTCTGCTATACATCATAGAGACAACTGGAAAATTCCTGAATTTTCAGGCAGGAACATGATTAGTGGCTTTCTTCTAATCCAGGTTTTAAAAAGCCACTATATTCTTTATTCTAGGAACCCAAAATCCCAGTTCATGTCCCTATATGCCAATCTGGGAAAGCGAGGCTGAAGATGCCTTGTCTACGTTCCTGTAGTGCTAAGGAATCCAGTTCTCTGTGCCTTGCAGCTCTGCTCACCATACTTTTAACAGTTGTTGGCAAGTCATTGGGGGCTGAAAATTCTCCAGGTGTTTTAACCCACCTGTTAAAACAGTGCTTTCCCTTGCCTTCACAATGGTATTCTAGTTGCCTGACATCACCAGCACTGACCTGACCTGTTTTGTCTCTCCCTCCTCCCTTTCAATGTTTTTTCCCAGCAGTACATGCTTAAGCCCCAGCCCCAGAAGGGTGTGCAGCTCCTGACAGAACTGGAGTTGCCCAGCAGATCTGCCTAAGCACACTTACAAGAAGCTGGAAGAGCAGTACTGGTTATGATTTGCTTTCCTCAGGCATTTAGATACTGACTCCAGGCAGCCCAGTGTTGAATACCCTTCTGCAGATTAAGCTTAGTTTTCCAAATTTATAGGAGATTATTGTTGTTTACATATATGTTGAAGAAAAGACAACACTGCTCGCCTTCCCCAAACATACATCAGTCTCTTCAATACTCTCCCATAATGAGGGCTCTGAAACAACACCCTGCTCCTGGGGTTGACTGAGTAAAACACACTCCCTAGTTCACTGATAGTTGCTGGCTTATGCATCTCCCACATAAAAAAAGTTTTCTCCATTTGTTTTCCATGAGTTTAGAGACAGCCAATGCACAGATAGCCAATGCAGTTCTGGAACATATAGATGCTAAGGCTCAGCATGTACAGGTTTATAGTATATGTGCCTAGAGTGACAGGTAGAGGGGATGTGTTAGCAAGCACCTAAACATTACCATCTTAGTAACATCTGGGTACCTGCATCCTCTCATTTAAACCTAGGCTTGGGTCACTTTAAATAAGAAGTATTTTTTCATCCTGGATTAGTATTTCTGTTGAGCTTGGAAGAGGAACCTCACTTTTTCCAACAAAGATCTGCTGGAATACGGCATGGAAATGAACCTAAAAAACCTAACACAAGCCATGTAGATTTCCAGTTTAAGTGATATGCCATGAAAACAATAATCAAGACACAGACTTGTAATTATGGTACAGGACTCCAGTTTCATTCCCCATCTACCCTTTGTGACCAAATTTCCCAATGTCTCATTTCCTCACCTATAGAAAAAAGGATAAAGCTTAACTCCCTACCTGCTCTGCTAATCTCATCCAGATAAACAAGTATGTATTTTGTGGGGGGGTTTTGTTTTTTTTTTTGTTTTGTTTGTTTGTTTTGTTTGTTTTTTTTGTTTGTTTTTGTTTTGTTTTTGTTTTTTTTCAGTTTCAGCAGAGAGAAGCCTTAATTGATGTTTTGCCTTTAAGCTTATAAACAGAAACACCCGTACTGAAAAGCTTGTAAACTACAAAGGCATGGTCTGTGAAGATCTGGAAAGTAATCTGAGCAAAAGCAAAGTTACTCACCTTAGAGCAGAAAGCAGGCCAGGTAGGAATGCAATGCAGATCCCACAGCCTTAGGTCAAGTGCTCTAGCACTCCACAGCTGCCTTCTTGAAGAACTTAATGGAATCTTAGTGTTTTTCTGAAACGAGTAACAATAATAAAGAACTTAACACAGGTTTTTAAATTCCAGAGCTTTCCCTCCTACAACTCCTCACAAGTAGCACTCAAAGTAACAAAGTAAAGGTTCAGTTGTGGTGACTGAAATACACAAACCTGTTTTCCTCCAGGGCTAGCATTGCTAGATTTTCCTCTCAACCTCCTATTAGCTATGCACCTCTATTTTATTAACACCTTACATATTCTTAGTGTAGTATTCATTATAAACTAAATGCTTAAGTGTGTTTGTCTTTACTCTGAAGGGCTTACAACTCTAAACCAGAAAGCAGAAGCAATGCTGTGAGGAAATCCAGAGATAAATATATATGATACAGACAGATCAAGTTTCTACCACCAAAACATACTATTAAGTCAAGCATAGCATGCAGCTAGGTCCAGTTGCACAACACAGACCTGTTGTTCATGCACTGGGACTAATACAGACCACTCACACGAGCAATATCTGCAACTGCTGAGCAGAACCCTGGCGACTTATCCTCACCACCCTACTGACAGTGTTACCCTTCAGGGGAACTGGGAAGGCAAAGCAGGGAAGCAGGAGCATGGCTGGAAGCAGAGAGGTGCTCTGACTGGCCCATGATAGTCTTCCTCACATAAAATAGTGGAATTCCACCAATTCAATCAGAATTATGCCATTTCATACTAGCAAAGTATCAGAACCAGTATCTATCCCAGTGTATCAGTCAGATGTCTTTTAGACCTGAAGGCTTTGCCATGACCCAAGCGACCTCAAGAAAATAGTGTCCAATGCAGGTGCAGGTGTAAGCCCTCACACACTACTCCCTCCTTCTCAAGCCAGGAGAGGACCAGCCCCCCCAGCAGAACAGCCCTTAAGCACAGTCCTTTGAACTGCTTTGCTCTGGCTGCCAGAAGCCACAAAGCTGGTTGTGAAGTGCAAGGTTGTGCAGCAGGACTTCTTTTTCCCCTCCCCCTTTGGAACATGAAGGCTCCTGACTTACAGGAGACCAGACCTTACTCCTTAGTCTTTTCCCACCTCATTCACCTGACAACCTCCTCCACAACAGACATCTTATCAGACGTGACTGATTGCTGTAATCTGTACTCTGGGCAGCCATTAAGCAAATTACCTGAATCATTGCAAGGATTAGTCTCATTAACACATGATTAGCATCAAATTAAAATAATGAGTGTTTAACTTCTGATGTCTTCCAGTTGTTTGAACAGCTTGATCAGCCACACCAGGCTGGCAGGGAGGTGGTGGGTGTCAAAGAGTCAGTGAGAAAAAAAATAAAAATAAATAAAAAGGTAGGCTGTACCGCACAAGACAGACTGCAGCTGACTTGCAGAACAAAGCAGAGTCGCTGTCAGAGCAAGCTCTGTGCAAAGTTCACCACTAGCAAAGAGCAGAGGCAACTGGCCAGCCCCAAACCTACGCTCTGCTTAACACGTAACACTGCCTCCACTCTTTGGGAGCAGGGGTTCACACACTCATCACAGCATCACCTGCCTCTCCACCCATAGCTGTAAATTCCTCGACACAGTTACGGTGACAGCCAGACATATTAAACTGCAGGGGAGCCAGTGCCTACGATTTCAACATAGCCACTAAAAATGACAAGCTGAGGTGAGTTGATACCTTAATTCTTGGTTGCCTCCTGGTTACTCATGCACATTGTCTTTTCAGCTTAAAACCCAAGCAGACGCAAAGTTCAGCCAAGCTTGTAGCTGGAGCAGCCTTCACGCTTCCTGACAGCTACAGACTTTTTCCTAGACACACTCCAAGCCCACACTCGCCTCTGATCAGCCTCAGTAGCAGCCGTTTGCCATGCTGGGCTCTTCACAGGAGCAGCAAAGCCACTCTGCTCTCCGAGCACGCAGCAGGTGAGGGCAGCAGCCTCCAGCTGCCCCAGGTTCAGCCCAGCTCCGCTGCTGTTCTGTCCCCACAACTCGGGGGCAAGTTGCTTCTGCAGAGCCCAGCTCACCTCCTTCAGGGACCACAGCGGGCCTTGACAGCATGGACTGGCCTTATTCAGAGTAGTGCTGAGATGCCCCTGAACCCACCTCCTCCCTTGGCAGCTCATTTTCACTTTTTCCTGCCTTGCAAAGCCTTGGTACAATTGGGTACCGTCCCCAACAGTATCATTATCTGTGTCTCAGCTGCAAACATTCACAGCTGGGGGGTTAAAAAAGCTTCCTCTCCATTAGAGTTCTAGTGCAAAATAAAAACATTCTCAAGTATATTTCACAAGTGTCATCATTTACTGTACATCGGTTCAACTCACAGAACAGTTGCGGTACACACTAACTAGCAACATTTAGGAGGGAACTAACCCAAAAACTCTGTTCTATGTGTGCAATCCAATTCATACAGGAGGGAAAAAATTAAAGTAAGAAGAGTTTTGACTGTTTTTTCAGGCGCACTGAAGCAAGGTGAGGTGAGAACCCTCTGTCCAGGGGCCTGGACTAAGGGATGCCATGAGCAGAACCCAGCCAGCACACGTCCATGGAGAGGCCTCTGCACCAGCTGCTCTCATCTGCCCCCACCTGCACCCAATCATTTGCTAATGGCAGGAGAATTGAATTAATCAGCCCCTTGTTTAATCACAGCCTGTTTACATTATGTTCCTTTCTTTTGTGTTTAAAAATAGACTGGGGGGGGGGGGGGGGGGGAGGATGGGGGGGGGGGGGGGAGGATGGGGGGGGGAAAGGGGGTGGCCATGTCAAACCTGTCTCAACTACATCGAAGAACAATTCCAGAGCAATTCCAGTCACTGCTTCTATCTGCAGAGCCTGACCAGTCATTTTTTCCTCTTTGCTCTCTCTCTTTAACTGCTCACGCCACCAATCTGCCTGGACACTGTACTGGTTCCAAAGCAGCTTCCACTGCCCAGAGCAGCGCCCTTGCAAAGCCCACCAGCCCACGTGCCACAAGCAGCAGATAAACATCACAAAACCACTCCTCTTGCCTGCCAGTCGAGACGGGCTGTAAAAAGCATGTTTCAGTGCTTGGTATTTTCAAGGTCCTGTGTACAACTGCCCAGAAAGTGCCCTTCTTCCTGTAGTAGTTTCACCTTAATACATGTTTTCAGGAAACCTAACACTTGTCTTAAGCATTCGGTGCTTAGCCTACCAGTACTCAGTTCCCCGATTCAGGTTCTTTTACCTGCAGTAAATCCTGAGCCCGTATGTTCAATGTCACCACTATCAAGAGGAAGGTCCTCCCTCCTGCAAGCCCATGGAGTCCCCAAGTCATTCCCTTCTCAGTCTGCAGAAACAATTCTCCATATCCCACGGTCACGCAGGAGAAATATGATTGCTGTTCCTCTTCATCCCATGTATGCAGTGCTCAGCATTCAGCAAAAAACAACTTGTCTAATTTTAGTGGTGTTGAGGCTTGTCTCCAGAAGGCGCTAACAAGAGTTTGAACAGCAATTAGTTATCATGCATTAGCTACTGCGTTATGAACTAGGAGTACACAACTTCTATTTTTTTCATACTCTTCCAAACCATTTTCTCCTTCTCTGGACAATGAAAACAGTGGCACAAGCTTCCGTGTGTTCTGACCAAAACCTTTTTTCCAGAATACCTGTATTGGTCAGGATTTGCTAAACCTGCAGAAGTCTCAGTATAGACACGCCATAAACCCAACTTCTCTCCTACCTCACAAGAAAGCCTCTAGTCTACTCCTCCTCAAGCCTGCTCTACAGTCCAAGGATAAAGTGAAGCACTTCTGTTTAATTGCTTATTTTGTCAGCACTTTCAAGTGTACAGATTTTCACCAGTGCCAGTTTACAACTGTCAGGCAAAGCTCACTGGTGTAATCCATCCATGGTTATACCAGCAAGGAAGGGTTTACCCAGTCAAACTCTGTAAATGAAAACTGCACAACTGAGCCTGTGATGACTTCACAATTCAAGTGAGTATTTACTATCCCACAAGCAAAGATTCACTGGATTCATCTTGGTCAACATTTACATTCTATAGGTTTGTACCTACTGATGCCGAACTCAAAAGAAATCAGAACTTTTTTGCCATTTGACAGTGGGACTTTGCTTGGGAACTCGAGTGACTAAGTTTGAATGGGGCACACTGATTTAGTGGCAATTTTTTTTTTTAAAACCTAAGACTTTTGCTATTACTTTTACTGAGAGGAAGAAGAAAAAGGGGCTGTTGAGTATTTTCAGGAAACTTATGATCCATTTCAGTTACATCTTGTGCATATAATTTGTCAGGTCAAAAGGGTGAGCAATTTATGAAAAACTCAAAATTAAGTTAAGGTATACTCTGAACATTTTAAAACATAAGATTCACTGTTTTAAGGATTTTCTCCATGCTTCTATTTCCATTTTTGAGTCATTTCCAATGCTAAAAGAAGGCAAAGCCAAAATCACATCACCGTGAATAATGCTGGAAAGCGTTTTGCTTCAAAACCTCTCCTTTTTGAGCTGGTAACTTGTTAACAGATCACCCCTTTTTCTGATTTTTTTGTACCCGCAATCAACTACTTTCTCTTCTCCCTGCAGCTGGTGTGTTGTTGAGACTGAAGCAAAGTCTCAATTCTTTCTAACCTGCTGCAGCTTATTTGATTTTATCTGCACATGAATTAAACAAGTTTCCTGCTGTCTCTGATTCTCCTGCCTGTCTGCTGAGCTGAAATCAAAGCCTTGCTTTTCCTTGCCTTACAGAACTACAGTTGACTTCTCCAGAGACTTCCTGGGCTGCTTCCAGTTCAGTTCATTCCCCATGTCAATGACAGGCATCTTCCCCTACCTCCGAAGGTGGTGTGAGATCTGAATATGCAGGATATGCAGGATCTGGACTTAGATGCACACTCAAACATTTCTCTCTCAACGAAGAAATTGACAGAACATGTGCAGCAGCCAATGTTTAAGCCTCAACATCTTGGTTATTTATTCTTTGAAATGCCACAAACCATAAGTACGTATTATAGACAAATCACTTGTCAAAGCTCTTTCTTAATTTAATTAAAGCCATTTTTTA